CCATTTGCCTTTTATTTTCGATTAAATTGGATCCGATAATGCCAAGAAATGACCCAAAGCCCAACTGAAAGGAAAAGGATTTAAAATGTTTTACAATCTGGTCTGGAAGTCAAATGATTTTTTATGCACAGTCGAATTTGGAAACAGAGTAGGAAGGAGGAGGATAAACTCACGCGAACCAATATTTCAATATTTTTATCCCAGCATATACGGGAACGTGGGCGGATCAGGCAATATACAATACAATAATTACAAAGATTTGACCTTGCTAGTTTTCTCCTGGTCAGTTAAGACTGACCCAGTTGAGTGGGTCTTAGGAAAAAAAAATGGGGGTCAAGAATTATGGGGAAGCAAAGAGCTAAGTATGTATATAGGTAGTCCTCAACTCACAACAGTTCATTTAGTGACCTTTCAAAGTTACAACGGCATTGAAAAAAGTGACCTGTGACCGTTTTTCACACTTAGGACCACTGCAGCCATCGCCATGGTCACGTGATCAAAATTCAGACCGCTTGGCAACTAACTCGTATTTATGACGGTCGCAGTGTCCCGGGGTCACTTTGCAACTTTTTGACTAAGCAAAGTCAACGGGGAAGTCAGATTCGTTTTACAACTGTGTTACTAATTGAACACCTGCAGTGATCCACTTAACAACTGTGGCAAGAAAAGTCGTAAAGGGGGGATTAGTTCACTTAACATCTGTCTCACTTAGCGACAGAAATTTTGGGCTCAATCGTGGTCGTAAGTCGAGGACTACCTGTTTAGTAAATCTCTTCCCCTTATTTCATTTCTTTGTTCTTGGCCTGTTCTAAAACATCAATCACTGCCTTCCTGACTTTACGTTAAGATTGTTCATGCTTAGAAAAAGATGGAGGAAATGCTTTGGACTTTACATCAACCCGGCAATTTTCTCTGCCTGAAACTTTGCTATTCAGGGCACCATGTTAACATCTTTGTTCCTCCCATCTTAAACCATCATTAATGCTTATAAGAGTTCCAAGGCAAGAGTCCAGGTTTTTCGTTCTGTCCAGGAATCCGCTACTTACAATAGCTCCTGGGTAGTAACCCCCAACAGTCACATTTTGCGTACGTGTGGTTGCAGCAAGGCCCACGGTCAGAATTAGGAGCGAGACGATAAGGAGAGTCACGGTGACATAGAGGGAATTTCGCTTCCTTCTGCTGAAAGACCCTAGAGAGATACACAGAGGGATAACAATAAAAGGATGGGCCTAATCTGTCAACTACTAGTCCACCAGGAGGCCACTTCCATCTCCTACGTTCACTGAGAGAGCCATAAAAGAACTTTTCCGAACATCGATGGAGATTCTCAATCATCCAGGAGGTTGAACAGATAATAACAATGTGTACGGACGTGTAATATGTTCCGAAGCATGAATTTATGAGCTAAAGGTGCTTTTCCAAAAAGCAGTTGGACGTTCTTACGTTCTTGGCTTTCCCCCCCCTCCTTTGACAACATTTCAAATGTTTTAGGGGAGGCCTAGGGAAATTCACTTCTCAGACAGTTTGGAGGAACATCTTCCCACACTAACTGAATCTTCATTCACACTCCCACAAAGTAGGAGTTTGAGATGACTTTCTCTAGAAGGTGAATGCTGAGCACACAGGTCACCAACCCACAACGTGGCCAACCGGGTTAGCTTCTTCCCATGATGAAACCTCAGAACAGGGAAGTGGAAAACCAAAGGGACCAAGTGACAACCATAAATTATCTGAACACAAGAATGACGATGGCCAACTATGGATTCCTATTTCAAAGGCAGACAAGGAAGCAGAGATCATGTTTAACTAACTGGATCCTAATTACTGGGAGGAAAGGGAAGAACCCTATTTCTGAAGAGGGGGTGTCACCTTTTATCAGGCGCTTTCAATTTGAGTGGCTAGCTTCTCTCCCCTCCCCCCCCGCCTCTTATCTTTTTGTTACTCCTATCCTGAATTTCCTAGGAAAGCTTCAAGGGGCACATAGGGGGGTTGCCCCCAGCATTTTCTCTCCTCTCTCTCCGCCCCCCCCGCTTTGCTTTGCAAGAGGTCTGCTGCACCTTGGGAACTCTTTCCTCCAGGGAAACCCCTTCAAGCTCAGGCTGGCTGCTCCAAGTCCAGAGATCTAACCCTCTCCCTATTTGGAGCAGGGGATGGGAAGCAGGTCTCTTGGAAATATGTGGGTGGAGGGGGGGGCAAGGAAGGGAAAGGGGAGAGAGGCTGAACCGGGCCTCTCAGCTCCCCCTGGCCTTGCAACCATCACCCCAACCTCTCCAGCTGGCCGAGGGACTCCTCCCCAGGCTGCGCCCAGCCGGCCCTCTCCAATTACGCACGGCGCCCGGGCGCGCTCGGCTCGTTGGAAAGAGTCCGCGGGGCTCGCCCCGTCCTCCTGCCCGGCCGCCCTTCTGCTCCCCGTCTTGAGACCGCTCAGCGACCCCACTCACCGGCCGAGGTGGAGAGCGGGATGGCACTGGAGCGCGGCGGAGCCAAGGCCTGGCGCATGGCGCTGGCGGTGCGCCTCCTGCGCCCCCGGCCTGCGGAGCCGCAAGGCGCACAGCTACCGGGCGCGGAGCATCCTCCCGCAGCGCTCCCGGTCGGAGCCGGCGGCTGGTGGCGCTTGCGCAAGGCGGGGGGGGGGGAGAGAGAGAGCCTGGCGGAGGCAGCTGCGCGCCCAGAGGCGAGGAGGGGAGGGGTCCCAGCTGTTGCGCCGATCCTCGCGGGGTTGAGATGCGCCGGATTCCCACCGTGGAAGAGCCCTGCGCCTCGATCCAGGGTGGGGTGGGGGGCTCGGAAAGGGGACCGCTTCTTTTGGATTCTGCCCCTGCAACGCTGAAAGATGCAAAGCCAGGGAGGGCTGAGTGGGTGGATGAAAAAAAACACCTTCCCAAGGGCGAAAATTGCGCCTTGAACGCAAAATGCAGGCGCAGCAGCTCAAATTCCCAAAAAGGCAACGAGCATAGATTAAAATGGGCTCTGAGATGCATCAGTGCCACGTTTCATTGATGAAACTCTCCGTTCAGCCAATGGAAGATCGCACGTTCGGTTGGATAGATCCTCGACCTGCTTTTCTGTATTGGCCTGCCTTGCAAGCGACAGACCAGCCCTTCATTAATAAGACATTTGTGATCGCATACTTTGGCTGCTTCCTGTGCTAGGAATATCTTAGGACAGATTTATCTCACTGTCTTTTAATTTCGAAAAGGGTTGGGGTTCGCAATAAATGGGTTCTTCAGCCGTATTTTGGGATAAATGGCCGGGTTTAATGCAAAGAAATATAAAAAGCATTTAGCTTCGGCAATATGACTTACGGATTGTTGGTCAAGGTCTGGCTTAAGTTAATTTGAAGAGGAGGAATGAATTAGAAAAGCAGAATCCTGAAAGTCTTTGCAAAACAAGCAAAGGAATACACAAAATTCTTCATAAACAAGGAAAAGGTCAATAATGTAAGCAAAAAGGAAATTTATTGCAATAGTTATAGTTGGAAAAAGGCCTTCAACAGGATAAAACCCATAAGAAAAAAAAAGAGCATTTTTTTTCATAAAACAGCTCTATTGCTTTAGAACTGTCTTGGTAAACTTTGAAATAAGCAGATCTGAAATTGTAGCTGTGCCTTTGATACGAATTCTTCCTCATGAATGCAGAACTGAGATCTAAAAGATGGGGAATTCAGAATTTTAAAAAGTCCGGATGTAGCAGATCATTCTGGCAAGTCTTACGGCACAAGGAAGCTTTTGAAAGAAAAGTCAAATCAAAAGTCACTCCTGGGAAGTCACGATCTCTCCCGGGATTAAATCTTTTTCCTTGAGGGACAGATGTAGCCAGGAGGGGGCAGAAGATAATTTAAAAAGAGGGGGAGAAAAAAGACCAGACATCTATCTAGTCAGTGTAACCTGATCATCCAGAGCCAAAAATAGAAAATGCTTTGGAAAACACATCTATCTGGCTATGTCAAGAGTGTTACTTCTTTTTCCAATGTGGCCTCTTTCTGTAGGGAGGGGGGGTGCACAATTCATTGGAGATGATCTGTAGAATGTCCTGCTTCTAATTGGGGGGGGCTATGGGTGGGTAGGAAAAATAGATAAATCATATTTGCAGTAGACAAGGGAGAAAGGGAGGGTGGGCAGTGGAGGCCCCAGCTGGAAGTCAGCAAAATAAATTCTATTCTATTCTATTCCATTCTATTCCATTCCATTCCATTCCATTCTGAAACAAGCACGTTTAGCTGGCGAATTCTGGGAGTTGAAATCCACAGATTGCCAAGGTTGGACATCCTTGGTCTTACAGCTTGGCTTGGAGAACTGCTGCTAGTTGCGCTGTTGTGAAAAGAGCCAAAGCAAGATGAGATGCTGAGATGAACGCCTCGGCTTTTGAGACCCCCAAACTGGGAGCCAGGGCACATTTTGTGCCACTAGGAACCCAACCAGAGCACCCAACTGCCGTGGGCCCCTTGTCTCTCCTTTGAGGTTCTTCAGATGATTGGTGGAACGTTAGACGGCTGGGAAACTGACCCTGCAGAATCCCAGCCGCTCAGCTTGAATGAGCACAGAGGGATAAATATAGCCAAAACTGACTCTCTGAACTTTCAAGAGCAATCAAACAAAGTCTCCACGGTCCCCTCCGCCCGCCCCATGACTGACAGGAACACGTTGGCTCATACAGCCTTCGCTCTCCGTTCAAGCCCAATAGTGTTATAACGGTCTAAAAACTGATCTCAGGCTTCCGTAGACAGAATCAATTTGGGTCCATTTTGTTAGGAGAGCTTCTTCTCCTTCTCCAGCAGATTCCTTAGCGTACCTCAAAAGGTCTTGGATGGAAAGACCCCCGAACTCTTATTCAACATTGAGTTGTATGACGTCAATTGCCAGAGGAAAGCAATCCGTTTCTTGACGGCTGGCCAACACATTTCTCCTCCTGGGCAACGTTGAAAGAGCAACAGTTGTCACCTGGCACTGGCAGCAAAGAAGCCCCCAAGTTTCAACTGTCAGTTTGGGGGGTTTCCCCCCCCCCCGCTGTCCCCTGCAGGCTCCTGGATCTGCTTTCTATGAGTGAGGCTGGATGATGTTCAAGAGGAAGCTTGGCTGAACGTTCTGGAGCCGGTAGACCTAGTGGGAAGTGGTTTAGTTCTTTAACTCTGGAGCTGGCTTCTTATACTAATTCTATCCCCCCTTCTATATTTTGGGGGTTTTTTGTTTCGTTGTGACAAAGCCATGGCTGCGAAAGGCACCTCTGGAGCTTCCAAAGATCCCNGGGGGCAGAAGATAATTTAAAAAGAGGGGGAGAAAAAAGACCAGACATCTATCTAGTCAGTGTAACCTGATCATCCAGAGCCAAAAATAGAAAATGCTTTGGAAAACACATCTATCTGGCTATGTCAAGAGTGTTACTTCTTTTTCCAATGTGGCCTCTTTCTGTAGGGAGGGGGGGGGGTGCACAATTCATTGGAGATGATCTGTAGAATGTCCTGCTTCTAATGGGGGGGGGGCTATGGGTGGGTAGGAAAAATAGATAAATCATATTTGCAGCAGACAAGGGAGAAAGGGAGGGTGGGCAGTGGAGGCCCCAGCTGGAAGTCAGCAAAATAAATTCTATTCTATTCTATTCTATTCCATTCCATTCCATTCCATTCCATTCCATTCCGAAACAAGCACGTTTAGCTGGCGAATTCTGGGAGTTGAAATCCACAGATTGCCAAGGTTGGACATCCTTGGTCTTACAGCTTGGCTTGGAGAACTGCTGCTAGTTGCGCTGTTGTGAAAAGAGCCAAAGCAAGATGAGATGCTGAGATGAACGCCTCGGCTTTTGAGACCCCCAAACTGGGAGCCAGGGCACATTTTTGTGCCACTAGGAACCCAACCAGAGCACCCAACTGCCATGGGCCCCTTGTCTCTCCTTTGAGGTTCTTCAGATGATTGGTGGAACGTTAGACGGCTGGGAAACTGACCCTGCAGAATCCCAGCCGCTCAGCTTGAATGAGCACAGAGGGATAAATATAGCCAAAACTGACTCCCTGAACTTTCAAGAGCAATCAAACAAAGTCTCCACGGTCCCCTCCACCCGCCCCATGACTGACAGGAACACGTTGGCTCATACAGCCTTCGCTCTCCGTTCAAGCCCAATAGTGTTATAACGGTCTAAAAACTGATCTTGGGCTTCCGTAGACAGAATCAATTTGGGTCCATTTTGTTAGGAGAGCTTCTTCTCCTTCTCCAGCAGATTCCTTAGCGTACCTCAAAAGGTCTTGGATGGAAAGACCCCCGAACTCTTATTCAACATCGAGTTGTATGACGTCAATTGCCAGAGGAAAGCAATCCGTTTCTTGACGGCTGGCCAACACATTTCTCCTCCTGGGCAACGTTGAAAGAGCAACAGTTGTCACCTGGCACTGGCAGCAAAGAAGCCCCCAAGTTTCAACTGTCAGTTTTGGGGGTTCCCCCCCCCCCGCTGTCCCCTGCAGGCTCCTGGATCTGCTTTCTATGAGCGAGGCTGGATGATGTTCAAGAGGAAGCTTGGCTGAACGTTCTGGAGCCGGTAGACCTAGTGGGAAGTGGTTTAGTTCTTTAACTCTGGAGCTGGCTTCTTATACTAATTCTATCCCCCCTTCTATATTTTGGGGGTTTTTTGTTTCGTTGTGACAAAGCCATGGCTGCGAAAGGCACCTCTGGAGCTTCCAAAGATCCC